TTGGTGAAAAATACTATGTTATGAACCATCATAAATCACTTAGTCCATCATTTGCAACAAACCTATATGACTTTTGCAGTCATCTAAGCTTTCCAAGCTGTTTGTTGCAACTTTTAATTATCCAGTATACACACAGCCCATAGGTAAATAACAGCATATCATACTGAGATCACACTTTTGCTAAGAAAACATGCAAAACATGCACCCATATTCTCCAAATCAGGTCATCATCTAACAACAGGTACCAGTAGCTGATATTGAAATAAAATTACCAAACCTAATCCAGTTAATGAGTTTGGGTAAAAGGGGGGGGTGTTCTGGGCAGACAGCACTATTAGATCTTGCCATAGGAACACATGCTTAAATACACTATTTCAACACCTCATGAAAGTACTTGCCATACTCCAATCTCAAAAATTTTTCTGTCACCAGGTAGCAACAAGGGTCTGATTCCCAAAAATAGAAAGGAAACAGGGGGTTGACCATCTCAAATTCCCGCCACAGCTGATGATAGTAAAAAAACCTCAACTTTGACCTACATTTTCCATGGTATCCATCCGCCTGGCCAGACAAGACCTAACCACTCACATCTCTCACTACGCCCACTAAACTGGTGAAATAAACAAAACTTGACCAATGTAGGACAGTTTAGACCCTACCTGTGCCTTCCAGCCCAAAAATCTCCAAAATGGACCAAAAATTTCAAGAGAAAAAAAGGTTTTCAAAGGTATTAACTAGGCACTACAATGGTGTTCCCATTTTGAGGCCTCTACTGCGCAACGCAAATGTGGTGTCTGCCCTATATGTATTGTGACAAGCCCCTCCAACTGTCTTGGCAACTTGCTACATAATGTACATGTAATCCAACACCACAGGGTGTCTGCTACAGCACCAGTTACCATGGAGACAGATGTCTGGTCCAGGTCATTGACCTTACGTGTTTGGAAATGAAGCAGAAACAGAACAAAAACAACAATGTTTCCTCCTGTGAAGTTAACATAATGATACCTTGGAGCTGGACTCTCTAGGTAACAGGGTACTGACTGTTACCCTGTTCCTGTTGTGGGCATCAATATCCACATAGATGACTGACCAAGAAGCACCTTGGAGAAAAAGGTTTGTAAGTAATGATATTATATCAAAAAAGAATACACACTGTTGAGGAAACTTATTCAAATGATGCACATGTAGGTTTAAACACCCAAAAAAATGTATATTTTATACTTCTACTATCTATCTTAAAATTGCAAGACATTGTGTAAAATAATGCCAGAGCGGCTATACATGTAAGATAGAATTAGTATTTTACCTGTTTTCCAAAGAGGTTGAATCCATTCATGGCCTCCAATGCAGCTTTGGCCATGGCTATAGAACTGAGAGTCAGAAAAATACAGATGAAAGTATCAATACGACATTTTAACAGTACCCTGCCAGTATCTTATATATCTGTTGTTAATTTCTTCCCAATCGGCAAAAAATAAAATTAAATTAAAACAGATCACAATGTACATTCAATTTGTACCATTTAAGATTGAATGAATCAACCCCCCACTGAATATTTCAAAGAGTTTAAAACATCTGATTGTGGGCATAAGGTTTGGCTCTGGTTGGCTGATGTTTTGCAACGTTAGCTTCATCAGTCATATGTTTCAAAATGTAACGTGTGGACAGGAGGTTTGGCCATGGTTGGCTTGCCAGGTGTTCAGGAGTAAGTAAAGACACGGTTGGCTGATGGCTGATGGTTGGCTGATGGTTGGCTGATGGTTGGCTGATGGTTGGCTGGTATTCGGGAGCAGGTCATCAGGACATGGTTGGCAGTCAAATTTGACTCAAATTTGACTTCATATCGAAAGGTGTGCACGGCCTAAGTCTGGTCAGTCTGCTCCCAAACTTTAGCCTTGGTAAGCTTGTGACTAGGAGAAGGTTCTGAATGTGTGATAGGCAGGACCTTAAGTGAGGTCTCAGCTCCAGTATTTTCCTACAGATAACTCATAGCTAAGAAATTACACTCATAATTAGTCAAATGACTTCCACTGAAACCTCACCTTGTATGCAGTTCACAGTTGCCATTGTTATACTTGCTTCCTCTTTCCCAGACTCCGTAGTCAGGCAGTCTGTAGGCCCTCTCTATGTAATATACCAGGTTCTGTACGAAGGTGACCTCGTCAGTAGTGTAGATGATCTGTAGGCCTGAGGAGATCATCTGTGCCAGGTACAGGAGATACAGGGACGGGGCGTCGATCTGGGAACAACAAGGTAGTCATTCAAGGTTAGACATCCAGGTAATCTGTATCTGTATCTGTACAGCCGGTATAACCGCCTTTCAGCGTAACACACCAGCTTCGCAGGCATGCGGCGCGGTGGCAGCTGGCTACATTACACTGATCGACTAAATGTTACACCTAACCCTTGAACTTCTAACTCTAGACATTGTTTAAAGCTGATGATAATGCCCCTACTGTACTTGGTGACTCCACTCTACAATAATTCTAGGAAAGAATGAATTCTTGAACACCTCAATCCTTGGTTGATAACTCTGGTACTTGAAGGCAAGGCTATTTCTTGTTCTCTTCTGGGCTGGTATAAGATACCCCTCCCCCCCCCAAAGAAAAAAAACAGGTACTCAACCAACGGGATATGATTTTGGAAATGATCAGACATTTCAGGTAGCATTCACTACCAGCTGACACTGGTGAGACATCAAGTCTCATCGCATCTCATTAGCCCGTCTCACATAGACAAATATCGACTTCTGAGCACTGCTAAACTCCCCCAGCCATGGTTAGGAGTTAGGTCGGGAGTAATGTCGGCTGGGCCAGCCATGTTTCAAAATGTTTAAATTTTTAAACAATTGGGTTCAGCCATGGTTGGCTGGTGTTTGGGAGTATATGTACATGTATTGTTGGGATATGTCTGGATCTGGCAGTCAAATATGACTCACATTCAATTTGATTCGTATCAATTCAAAAGGTGGCCGTGTCCTTAATCTGATCAGACTGCTCCCAAATGTCAGAGGACCTGCGGTGTTGTGTGAAATAAATGGTGGTGTGTTCGGCTCAGTACCAAGAGGTCAGAGGTTCGAATTCTATAATCTCCGAGCAGATCCCTCTCGGTGGCAAAAAAGACTATCAAATTGGCCAGACAGTATCCATTAGCCAGAGAAGCTCCGCGGCCACCGACAGGGTGTGGATCAGGAAAAAAAAACGGCCATATATAAAAATGTAACGATCATTCCCCACAGCCTCTGCTTGGACAGTACGAATTCTACCCATATCACCAATCTTGTGCCCTTGGGAAAGGTACTTTACTTCAGGTGAAAATGAGTAACTAGCTAGTTTCGGTTAGGACTGACCCTTGGGTGGTTTGAGTGGTACAAAACTGGTGTGTTACACCTAAATGAGGTTTACCAGTTATGAGAAACAAACAAACAGACCTTGGTCAGCTGTGGTTGGCTGGTGTTTGGGGGAAGGTTTTGAATGTATGAGGGGATTAAAAGTAACAGTACATACATACAAGCAACTGCCGAGATTCTTTTGCAACAGACGTAAACTTGTAAGACCTTACCTGAAGATGTTTAGCTTCATTGTCAGTCTTTAGAGCATCACCAGTCTGCCAGTGGAACTCTGAGTGCAGACAGTGTTTGGCTTCCTGGCCCTGCTTAAACAGCTCCACCTATAGACACAAAATAAAACTGCAAGTATATCATTTATGACACTACACCTAGATTTGCCAACTCCGCTCGGTGGTTTATTCTGCGGCTGCATTTTATATATGTAACGCTTAAGGATGACACAAAAACTCCATTTCCTGGCTATTTCTTTACAGTTGAATGAACTCTACTCCATTCATGACTCAAGTGTGTTTAAAACTGGAAACACAGCTGTCAGCCAACAGTTGTTTAGACAAAAGGAGTGTAAATCCCTCCTGCTATAAAATTGCAACATGATGTAACTGAACACCAGTTACCATTGTGACAGACATCTGGTTCAGATCAATTACTATTACCTTATTGGTTTGGAGAAAAAGAAGAGAAAACAGAGCAAAAACAATATGTCATCCTTTGGTAAACATAACAAAATTAGATATTATTTTAAAGTAACGTAGCTGACCTTCTCTGCCTGCCTCATGTAACAGTACAGGATTCCTCTCATGCACTTGACTGTGCAGTGCTCAAGTTCATGTGTGCGCCCTCGATCATCATCAACACGCCTGCACACCAAACATGGGGATAGATTAGGCAAACTCACACAGAAGTCTTCAACTTAAAAAAGTCTAAAAAAGAATAAACTAAATATATGCACCAAAAAGAGCAGCTAGACACCAAATAATTAATACAGAAATCCTGTCTGGAACTGAATCAACCGTATATAGAATTATACATGTATAAGGAATACCAAATTTTGTCAGAAATATTGTCAGTTAACTGAACTGAACTGTCGTTACCTAGTACGTAAAAGAAAATTGGGTGTTATTTTTAGGTCCGTCTGTATTTGTGTCTGTCTGCATTTGTGTTTGTGTGGTTGAAGCATAACTTAAGAAAGCCCAGATGGATTGTGTTGATGTTTGGCATGTAGCTAGGTCTTGTGAAGGTCAAGGTCAAATGTGGGCCTTTATGGTTTTTGCTTCATAAATTTCATAGTCCTTGCTTGGTAATGATATAATTCTATGTTTTCTTAGCACCTTATAGTTATAGCACAGACTTGCTTGTATTTGTGTGTTACACAATGTTTTATTGTATTTAGCTCTCTCTGCCTAGCTTCACTAGGCGTTGACATCTATAGCTAGTGGTGTATGGCTCTCACATCACCGGAACATGATTAAAAGATGTCACTGACAAGAATGCCTCTGCATGGGATGATTCCTGAATGAGACAATTCGGGCAATATTCACTGTTACCTGCACCAGTGCAGGTCTACTGAAAAAAGTATTTCCAGCCCTGGTACTGCTGCATTACCTGTAGGCCAGGGCCAGTCCCCACACTGCTGCAGCACAGTAGATGTTGTCTCTCACTTTAGCCACAGGAGAGCTGCCGTCTGTGTGCAGTCTGAACAGACCCAACGTTGGGCTCTGGTTACTCAGTAACTGGTTCTTTGCTGAAAGAAAAACAAAAACAAAAAACATATCTATGAATATCATTGATAAAACTGATCTTCAACAATTTTAGCTCACATCATGAACAGTTGAGCTACTGGCACAAATTGACCAAAAAAAAAAAGGAAAAAAAATTCCTGAAATTTTATCGGTCCTGTCAATATATATATAGTAGAATAGCTAAAATAGGAAAAATCCTGTCAGCAGTGGAATACTTTCTGTTATTGACAGGACGGTCCTGTCAGCAGTGCAATACTAAAATTTCTGTTATTGACAGGACCGTTAACACTAACAGGTCCTGTTAATAGCTGCTGTCAGACATGTTTGTTTACAATCCGGTATTTTGAGGTGGCACCACAAAGCGAGTGTCTCCCGTGCAGGTTGTTTTAACACCGACCATAAATGTCAGAAATATGAGATGATTGCACAAATGTTGAAAAGTGGAAGTAACTTGACAATCCCATGAATATGATATCAATTTTTTGTGCAAAAATTTTTTGTGCAAAAATGTTACTAGTAACGTTTACATAACATCATCAACAACTCTGTCTAATGTGTCTTAAGGTGCACAAAACCACAAGATTTGACTAAAGAGCATTAAAGGTGAATTTAAAACTTAACATACATAGCTACACGTAGGCTACTTGAATATTCATAAATAACAACAGTGCTTGAAACCATGCGCATACATGGTGATATGCCGTGCGAACGCTCTAGAAAGACGCAGAAAACGTTTGAACACTTACCAACGATGTAATAATGGTTTAGTCTCTCCATAGACGCGTTAACTTGTCGATATTCGGAGTCTTCTGGGACGTCCAGTCCGCCTCCGCCTCTGCCGGGCGCCATCTTACCGCACAGGTCAGGTCAGGTCACGGTCACATCTCTGTCGTAAACCCGCAAATGTCGTAAAATACAGCTTAACGATCACGTTTGATCAAATAGTTTGCCTTGACGTCAAAAAGTAAAATGTGATCTATTTCAGAATCATGTTAAATCATAACGTGAATATTCCGCTTATTTTACTTTCATAATTGTAGTGTTATAAGCCTCTAACCTTTATGCCGTCAAAGGTCAACATCCGTTTTACGGTGGGTTTCTGGAAAAAGCAAACCGGACCAGACTTGCAGTGTGTGGAAAAAGCGGTCCGACCTTTTACGTGTAGTGCCCCAGCGGAAAGAGGTAGAACTGCACGTCACTGATGTCTCCCCATATAATACTCGATCAGATGCTTCAAACACTCGCTACCTTTGCAAATAAAGCTTTTTAGTGAATGTATATAATTTCAGACGTGGCTGCATTTTTCGGCTCTGTGACCGGATTGTTTTTTCCACTAACCTCACACGTTACATGTGATAACAAACCACCAACATGGCTTCGGATGACGACTCTGACGAGGATTTCGTGTATCACGGAACTCCGCTTCAACCTTTGGAGGAAGGTATGTTTCTTAGGTAGATAATTACCTCCCTGTGATAGCAAACTTATATTCCTAGCTATCGGTCTTTGTTGTAGCTCGAGGTTACTCTGTAGATAAACGGCAGGGGATGGGTTGGAGGGAGGGGGGTAGGGTAGTGGGTAGGGGGAATGAGATGGGGAGAGGACGGGGTGGGCTCTACTTTTCTGTGATCGTGCATGATTGATAAGAAGCTTTACATACAAACAATATAAAACAAGTGTCCATAGGCGACAATTCTCCGTGAAGTTTTATATTTTGCAGATTGAGAAGTGTATGTATGTGATCACTTAACAACTGCAGTGTTCGAAATACTTTTTTGACAGCACATGTGTGCTACCTAATGTTAGGGCAAAAACTACTAAGGTAGCGCATCAGAATTTTAGGTTGTGCCCCCTCCCCCCAATTTTTGTCAAATTCTATATGTCGCAATAGCATATTTCTTCTAATCATATAACGTTACTAATAAAGTTTATAAACCATTCATTCATGGTAATACCTCCATGTTCTTCCGTTAATAATTATCTATTCATGTTTTATGTTTACAAGACAACATTTTATTATATTAAAAAAATATTATAAGACACTGAATCGCTGGCCGTGCAGACCTACCATGCCCCACATGCGAAATTAATTCCTGAGGCTAAAACGCGGGCATTTCATTACGAGTTCCTTGCGGCAGATTAAATAGAATCTCATAAGTTCATGGGTAACGTTACATGTTATAAGCTGCAGATGAAAATGTTGATCTGTGTTAACACAGCCTGGAAATCTAACACATAAAATTTAACACCAACAACTATTCATAACAAATAACATATAAGAATATACAATGAAAAGCCCGAAGGTATAAAATCTCAGATTTTACTTGTTTTACATTTAGAGATGGTCTGCATTACTGATCTAATGAGATGAATTCATGATTTCTTCAGATGCTCCTATGAAGAAGCCTGTGAGTACTGAGGACCAGGTTGTAACAGACCAGCAGGGCCGGCGCAGGTTCCATGGAGCCTTCACTGGAGGCTTCTCAGCAGGCTACTACAACACTGTGGACACACCAGAAGGTACAACCAGTCATGGCATTACAGTACTGTCTAATGTCTAAGAAGACCACACAGTGTCACCCCTATATGTGTTAGACACTCACTTGGTTTTAAGCCCACTAAGTAAAGTAGGGACTGCATTTTTACGTGACTCTGCCACCTTTGTTCTCTATTGTTCTTACTACCATTAAAGTTGTGCTCGGTTGTGCACTAAATTGCTATCTGGAATTGTTCCTCAGAGGTCTATAGTATTTTGGTGCAGGGGACCCTGAGGAAAAAAAAGGCCTTCTTCGAGTGAAATATTTTGTGTCAAGTGTCAGTCATTTCTTACAAAAATTCATGATGGCACAAGACTGAGACACAGATTCCATTTCCTTAGCTTTCCAATGTTTAATAATCCTTTACTTATTGATGACTCAGGGCTAGAAATACCCACGTGCAATTATGTGCAAAATGCACATTGAAAAAAATATTTTGAATGTGCAATTTTGCACCTAGAGCAGGAGGGGGAGGGGGTATTGCAGGCAAAGAAGCAAAAATTACTTGTGATTTGGCACTCCCAGTCCCAAGGACAGACAACACTGTTCTGAAACAACAGGAGCTTCCCTTGACTAATTTGCATAATTCTTGTGTCTTAGTGTCACTGACAAAAGATTTTTCAAATTGCATCTAAAGTTTTTGCCAATGTGCAATTTTGCAGGTACTTTAAAAAAGTATTTCCAGCCCTGGATGTGCATACTTGTTCTTGTACAGTTTACAAGAATTTACAGTACTGATCACCTGAAAACCCATGTAACCAAGCTGACTTCACCATGATGATTTTTCACTATGTTTCATAAAGAATTGATGAAACTCTGATCATGATGTCCACCGGTAAAATTGCTGATTCTACCAGAGGTCAGAGTGTCTACCCAGACATGTATTTTTGTCCACATGACCTGCAGGATGGACCCCTGCCACGTTTGTGTCCTCCCGGAGCAGCAAGGCTGGCAAGGTGCAGCAGAGACCAGAGGACTTCATGGATGAGGAGGTAAATAGACAACAAACACCTAGAATTGAGTAATATACAATTCTCAATGATTCCAGAGTTATCAACCAAGGATTGAGGTGTTCAAGAATTCATTCTTTCCTAGAAGTATCGCAGAGTGGAACTCACTGTCACCAAGTACAGTAGGGGCATTGTCATTAGATAGCTTTAAACAAGGTAGACAGATAGAGCTAGAAGTTCAAGGGTTAGGTGTTACAAGTCGATCGGTGTAATATAGCCAGCTGCCGCCGCGCCGTGTGCCTGCGAAGCTGGTGTGTTACGCCGAAAGGCAGTTATACCGGCTATACTGATACAGATACAGATTCTTGGCAGTAGAGCTGTGATGGGATGGGGTTTTGTGCGCGTGAAAAATTTGCGCGCGCGTGAAAAATCTGCGCGTGAAAATATGCAAATTAGGCAATTCCCAGGGGGTCTTGGACATTTTCGGGAATCTTAATTTTATCTTTATCTTCCACGCGCAAATTTTAACCTTTTTTGCGCGTGAAACTTCACATTTGAACAAGTCCCATGGGATTTGCACATCCATCCTTAATTTCATCTTTTCTCAAGCATATTCTTCCACGCGCAAATTTTAAACTTTTTTGCGCGTGAAAACTTCACGTTTTTGAACAAGTTTCTCAAGCATATTCTTCCGCGCGCAAATTTTAACCTTTTTTGCGCGTGAAAACTTCACATTTGATCAAGTCCCTTGGGATTTGCACATCCATTCTTAACTTCATCTTTTCTCAAGCATATTTGTCCACTCTATATGAAATGTCTGCATGTGAAGCATCTGCATGTGAAAAAATATATATATAGCTTATTCTCACTCATTAAAAAGTATGCAGAAAGTACAACACAATACACAAAGAACTCTTTTTGTGTAATTTATTGCCCTTTATTCATCTTAATGTGACATTTTGTCCTTTCCTTAGCTGATGAGGACAAATACAGTAAACAGAGAAGACATCCATGTCAACATGTTAACATCAATGTTACTTTGAAACACTTGAAGTGTAGTGAAGTCTTTAAATCATTCTGTCAATGTACAAACCTCTTGTAGACTGACTACTTTCACCAATAACTCAAGCTCAGCTGAGCTTGTAATGTGAATGTCCTTCACTTAATCAAGTTAGAGTCTTACATATAGTAAAATATTGCTATTTCACATGATTCATCAAGTCATATCAAGTCATTTCTATTGTAATCAGCTATTGGATATACTCTATACTAAGTTGAAATCACTATAGTAACGGTCCGTAAGTTCAAATAATATGCAATTATTTACAGCCTGCAGAGTACACAAAAGTATGTTCAGTTTTAATAGTGATAAAATAGCTTGCAAGACACAAGGTTGACATTATACTGTGGATACATTGTACAGATTGTGCATCACAAGCAAAAATAAAGATACTTATTTTGTTTGAAAGGTTAGATATAAATCACAATGATGAACAGGATGACAAAGTAATTTGTAAATCTGTCACCTAACTACCTACTTCACGTCAGCTAAATTATATATAATATACATATATGGCTACATAATATGTGACATGAAGCCTAAAATCCCATCAACTTGCAATGATGATTGGAGGTGAAAAAAGATCTCGAATTTTTGTTTAAGACTAAGAGGCCATGGGAATGCCCCTGTCCTTTAACTTCTCAACATCTCCAGGGTAAAGTTTACATGAGTCAGAAGCACAATACACTTCTTGTGGTGGACAAGTCAAATCACTCATCTGGGGCTTAACTGAAATACAATTGAATTTTGCACAAAAGAAAAATTTTCTTTGTACAACATTGTGTTGGGGAGTGATCCACAGTGCATTCACAGAAATATAAAGCATAGATTTAATCATTGATGATTTCCGACACCCTACACATGTAGCTTTACTGTCTTTTTCAAGCCTCCCAGCCGTCCACCTAACAGGAGTAAGAGGTCTGTTTTTCTTGTAAGCAACAAACAGAGCCTCCTGCTCAACAGGTTCCAGCTGGACTCTCTGATTCTGAGGTTTACTCTGTCCTTCCCCCTCCCCCCCTACTTTCATTCTCAGAATGTTGATCATTTGTTTTTGATTGTTTATTAACATGACTCAACATCTTTTGAAGTTCACTTTTTGTTAGTCCTATCTGCCAGGTAATGAAATCATCTGCATTTAATTTAAAAACATGCTCATATAACCATAGTATGTGCTTGCAAAGTTGCTTGCCATTATATTTTTTAAAGAAGGGACAGGAACAGTTTGGGGTTCGGCTAATTACTGTATCATATAGACCGTTCGTTACTTTATTGAAAATTTTGTACTTAAGTTCTGACACCTCAACAATAAGATTGCTAATAGATATGTTGTTAGCATTTTGTTTAACCCTCTGGACTGTCTCTTTGTGCAGTTTGCTAGGACATTTTCTATAGTTGTATGGACGCTTTTCTTTTGCCTTTCCAGAATTAGTCTTGTCCAGATTGTCTGGAGATTTTTCATCTGAATCTGTGGAGTCAATAGTTCTTCTCTCATGGCATGTTTTCTTGGAATAGCTTGAGTTAGTAGCATCTCCATGCTTTCTTTTTCTTTGTTTATCTGGCCGATGAGAACTTCTTTCATCAGGGACAAAAGTGTCGTCATATTCCCCTTCACATGCCTTACCAAACTCATCATTGTCATAAATGTTAAATAATGTTTCGCCATACGCTCTGGCTCTGTTCTGTTGGTCTGCATGTTCCCTGGCCTGTCTTGTTTTGCTGTCTGGACCGGTACCTCCACTGAAACTACCTCCTTCCAACTGTTTTAGTTCCCGGTCTGTTATTATCATATCTGCCACATCGTCATAAGCAGCATCAACCAGGGACAGATTATTAGAGCCAGATCTTGTGTATCGAGAGTTATAAGATTCAGAAAGGTTCATATTTGGAACATTTATTTTTGGCCGAAAAGCTTTAAATACATGAAACCGACGTTCGTGCCACCACTGCAGCCATTTCTTTAAAACCTCCACTCGTCTTGGTCTTTTGCGAATGAAGTTCTGTAACCTACGATAAAGTTCAAAATAGCCTTCAGGTGAAGGGGTTTTCAGTATTTCTTTTGCTCTGTTTGTAAATTTCTCTCCATCGTCCTGGCCTAGCCTCCTAGCATGAAGATGCACAGACTGCATATAATGAAATGT